AGCCAGAAAGTCCCTGAATATTTGTCATGTAAACGTCAGTTGTAGTCGAGTCACTAACGACGTCTCGGTTGTGCCGAGGAACGCAGAATTTTTTCACAAAGTCTGACTTGTTCAAGCTGCTTATTTTTGGCAATTTTTTTAGATGTGACAAGTGTTTTGGAAATGTCAGGGTTTTAGATTTATAACATACAAGCAGTTCAAGGAGTGTGAGAAAGTTGAAAAACTCTAATTCTTTTTGCATTTTAAAAAAAAAGATCACATGCTGTTCAAACCCACTGGCAGGTTTGGATGTTCTTCTACTAAATTACACCATCATATCTGTTAGCGGCTGCAGTGTTTAGGTGTTGCAAGTGGAGCTTCATCTGTCTCAGGGAGGTCAAACAAGAAGCCTTCATAATACTACATTTAACATGTGGCCTTGTGCTCCATCACCAGCTACCCAGACCCTCGTCTTCACTTTTGTGTTTATTTGTAGATCACAAATTGTTCTTGAGCTGATGAGTCTGGGGCTACATCCACACCAGAACATTTTAAAGTGATGTTTTAAAAGAACAACTGTCCAGGTGGGCGTTTTAGCTGAGTTTATAAAATAATTGTTGTGCGTACTAACACACCTGAGAATGCATATCGCGTGACCATTTCAGTACACTGCCGTTGCAAAAACAGGAGGTTGGTTGTAGAAAAGTTGTAGAAAACACTCAGGCAGCAGCGGTGAAAAGCGGGACCCCAGATTTCTTTAACTCCACAACAGCTGCTAGCATAAAGAACCCAGTTAGTAACGCCTGCTGTCTAATTCATTACCTAAACTGAAATCACCAATGGTAGTCGATGCTAATGTCTTTGTTTTCTTCCGTGGTAAATCAGGAAACAAATGCAGTCATTGTTTCGGAAAGTCTCTGTTTCTGCTTGTCCAGGAATAAATAACAACCCCAAAGGCTTTCAAGCTGAAACAGGGTCTGCAGCTTTTCCAAACATCTCCATTTTAGAAGTCCAACACTATAAATGTGGCCGTGTGGATGCAGCCTGACTCTCCTCAGCTCGTTCTTTTTTTTTTTTATGAGGGGCAATCAAAACAATAGGTCTCCATCTTTATAGAGCTTTGACCTGGATTTGTTTGCTTGTGAGAGAACTTGTATAACTTTAATTACGCTAATTGCCTCTGTCAAGCCGCGCTGAACTTCTACATATTGCATCCTCTAATTCCCTCGCGACGGCGATGCAGCGCTCTTCGCTTTTCCGCCGCTGTCGACGGGTCGAGGCAGACGGCAACGTGCCTCTGTGGCCTTTGTTGTACTTGCCGTTATTGAGCTGATAGATTTTGCACTTTTCCCCTGCTGGTGGTCAAAGATAGACCCCCGGGGCGGGATCGCTGATATCCTAGTAAGCAATTAAGGCCTCGCAGCACTGTGGGCTTAAGGAGAACAGGACATTAACCTTTTGATCCTTGACCTGTGCTCGAACAGATTCCATGTCACACAACAGCTGAAATGTGGCTGCCGGTGCTGTTTGGTCTTCATTATTCTGCTAAACAACATGATGGCTTTTTTATTTAAATGTTGCTAACAGGGCGAGGTTAATGACACCTAATTTCTTACCTGACAGCGGCGAACATACTTAATAAGCATTTTCATAATCGTCAGAATTCTAAGTCCAGCGTGGGCTCGTCATTTCGGGTGGTGGTGGTAGTAGGTGTAGCCATCTAACCTTCCCATTTATGCAGTTGTAAAAAGACCTGTTGGCCCACTGGGGACTATAAATAGACGGCATGAATGTTGCTGCAACCATCGGACCAGACAATCACACACAAACACACACATGTACAGGCATGTAAACACAACGCGGCTCCGGTAGATTTGTGGGGTCGTAGAACAAGCAGAATTGGATGTCATTATAAATCACCGTTAATAGCCCGCTTCCTTCATTTTTGTGTATTTCATGTGTTATTAATGCAACGCAAACCCTAATGTGCCGTAATTCAGTATCAGTCATAACATCTGGGCCCGTACGTAGGGCTCACGGAGTAAGAAATCACTGCTAGCATAAATGTTGCATACATTTTTTAAATTGCAGTCTGGCATATTTAATTATAGAGCAGAACACTAAGCTCAGTTTCTTTCAGCAGCATGTTTGATGGGTTACTGTATGTCCCAGCTGGCCGCGTATTAGCGACCGAGGCTACCGTGCTCATGCTGCTCTCACCAAAAAAAAAAAAAAAGAAAAAGAGAAAACACAGCAACAGCCTCAAGGTGTCTGCTGACAGCCAGTTGCTTCGTTTAAGGTTACAGCCTATCAACATTTCATACATACGCACACAACCAGCGCACGGCTCACGGGGACCTGTTATGTATCACGACAGGTGAACTCGTCAATCGTGTGATCGCATGTAACAGAAAAACACGCACATGCTTAGCGTCGCGGCTGGATGGCCGTTATACAACGCACTACTGAACACAGTAGTCTCTCTCTCTCTCTCTCTCTTTCTCTCTCATGACCCGGGGGATTGCATAAGCAGCCATCTGAATATAGAATGACAGACAGTAATGACTGTTGTGCTTGAATCTAATTGGTCCAGACACAATACATGAGCCCCGTGACCCAGCTGTTTACATCTTCACCGCGGACCGTGTGTCGAGTCTGTTACCTTTGCTCACACAGAAGTCAATGCCGTTTATAATCCTATTACAGGAGAGTCACCTCAACAAAAGTGTGGATCGCCGATCATTAGGTTTCATTGTGCCGTGGGTCTCGGTATCATGAAGACGCGACTGTCTGGATAGAAAAAGAAAATGACAAAGAACTTGTTCATCAGAGCTTCCAGGAATATAAAAAGGGAAAAATACAATCTAATGAAAGAAAACTCCCATCAGTGTAACCTTGTCCACAACCACTGTGCGTTGTGTTATCAAACCTAAGACGGTTGTTTTGTTGTCAGTCATGTCAAAAAATAGGAGTTCTTTTATTTACATACCTGAACAAACAAACTGGGGATCAGCCAATTATCAGGGCCGATGTTCTGCTTTTTTCTGATCATAGATAAAAATAAATTCAATGTATTGCTTTGGCTCTGATGTAGTTGCAGACAACGCGATCTGATTGGCTGTTACATATCACAAGTAACAGCCAATCAATACTGAAAGCGATTGTTTACACACGTGGACAGATGAGCACATTTGTAGAGTGGAGCAGTATTAAACACCGCATTCTTACCCAAGTATGCCCAGTTTCCCCGATCACACTTGAAAATGCCAGAACAATTAATTTGTCGACGTCACTGCAACCAGAACTTATTTTGCTGATGATGCTAAGCTAAGGCTATCACTAAGAGGTTAGCTGTGGTGCCTCTTAGCTTGTGGCTAACGCTATCTGGGGTACGCAGCCAGCAAAAAAAACTGAACAAGAAACAAAGCCATCAACCCAAATGAGAAAATAAACTACTCTCACAGTGGCTAAAGTTATGCTAACAGCTAAAGGGTTTAGTTTTGCTAGCAGCTAAATTAGGAAGCAGCCACAGACGACCCTGAAACTGTGCCTGGAGAACAACAGCACATACTGATTGAAGATATGGGACTTATAGGGCAATAAAAGTGAGGAGATTAGCAAAACATGCTGTTAATGTATAACATTGAATGGAAATTGGTTTGAAACGTCGGTTAGCGGTCTTTCCTGTTCATCAATCATCTGTATCGCAAGTCTAAAACAACAACAGCCTACAGATAAAGCTGGTAAACCTGAACAAAAATATAAGTAGATGTAACGACACCCTTGGCAGCAGAAGCTTGTGTTGCCTGTTAAGCAGAAATAACTTCTTCTAAGTGTTTTCCATCAATCTGACATCAGCTTTCTGAAACTTTCGACCACCCCCTCCGTGCAAAATTCCTTCAGTTGCAAGATGTTTGAGAGTTTTCTTGCACGTGCAGCAAGAAAATAAATCCTTCCACCTAATTTCAATAGGATTCAAATCCGGGCTTCAACAAATCCAGGTCTCCATTTCCTCCTCCTGAGCCATTCCTTGGTGGATTTGCTGCTCGGAGGATCATTATCCCATTGAAAGGCCCAGTTCCAGTTCAACTTTCAGACAGATGGGCTCGCAGAATCTTCAAGCAGTGTTTGATAGGATGCAGACTTCATAGTTGAATCAGTCCCTGAAGCATTGCCACCACCATGCATCTCCTGTCACTGTGGCCAAACGGCTCTGTCTTTGACTCATCCGTCCAGAGCACTTTATTCCAAAAGGCCTGGTCTTTGCCTGCATGTTCATTGACAATTTGCTCTAATGTTCTTTTTGGACAGCAGAGGCTTCTACCTGGCACGCCTCCTGTGCAGGTCAGATTTTGTGCAATCTCTCTCGGACTGTTGACTCAGCACTTTGATGCCAACAGTTACCTGTTGTGATTTTTTGGGGGGTTCTTGGAAACTTGTTTTTGCATCATACTGTCAGCTCTTAGGCTAAATTTGCAGCAGATCCAAGATGACACAGGTTTACAATGTACTAAATGTATTTACTTACTGTTATTTTAAATTAGAACGATGAAAATGACAACATGTCATTGACTCAGCTATGTCCTTGGGTTGAATTGAAAAATTGGTGCTAAAGTATTTGAAAATAAAAAAAACAACAACATTTTTTTTCTGCTTTTATGACAGAAGTCGATACTCCGTGAGCTTTTTACACTCCCTACTGCTACATCTGAGCATGAGTTTTCCTTTTTTACAGAGAAGAGAAAGTTAAAAGCAGCAGTGAAACCGGCTGCATTACTGTCAGACCCGTTCACACCACCGTGCTGAAGATGCTGAACAACCAGTTGGTGCCGTCATATGTTTAGACAACTCAGGCTCTCGGCGTGAAACGGCTTCTCTGCTATTCCATCTTTGGTAGAAAGTCAGCAATCAAACACAGACCCGGTGTCGTTCTCAATATCAAATTTACAGATGAAACCCTATTGGACGGCTGCTGCCATGTTACCGTGTTGTTCACCAACACTTTGTATTCCTTTTCGCAGGCCATGGAAAGAACCACAAGGACGCAGCATCAGTGCGAGCCACACACCCAATCCCCGCTGCCTGTGGGATTTACTACTTTGAAGTCAAGATTGTCAGCAAAGGTCGAGACGGGTAAGCAGATACAACTCTGTTAAAGCTTTTGTGCTTGTGTCCTGTGTTGCCATGGAAACTTTTTCTACCCCTGGTGCGGCTCATAACGTTTTCGCTGTGCCCAAACGGAGATAAAACTGCAGTCACTTGCAGTATTTTCTTTTTTACTGTATGTACGCTGTGAAGTCTCAGATTCGCGCTCGGGTCCGTGGATCAGTTCACTGCTTTGGCTGTTTGCTGAGAATATTATCAAAGGAGCCGATCTCATGAGAACAAAGTTCTCGTCCAGCAGGGTTTCACTCGTCCACACACTGATTTCTGGGCCAGTTATGAGCTAAATGTGCAGACTGACAGTTCTGCCAAGAGCTGGTGTAATGCAACAGCTACTACATACTGACTCCAATCTGACATTTACGTCCCAAGAGAACACTTTTATTGTTAGATGTAAAACTAGCCGTTACCAACAGCAGTACGTTACGTAAAGTTTGATTTATTGTAGTGGTGCAACTAAACATTTATCAAGGTGACTGGCAATTATTGAGTGTATTGGTTTCCCACATGGATATCTGTTAACAGTTTCTTTGTTTATTTTTATCAGTTCCACTTAGCCAACTCTTCAGTTCACGACAGGGTGTTTGTACAACAAGCCTCAGGATTAATTTCACATGCTTTGAGATGAATGTCATAATAGCACACTTAGCACAGCAATGCTAAAATGCCAAATGTTAGTTAACGTTCTAAACATCAAGACTCAAAATGCTAAATGTAATACATGTAATAAAAAGACATCTGAAGGTGGAAAACTTAAAATGCTAAAAGTTAGCAAGGTTTAAAAATGATCAACAAGTTTGTAGCTTAACATACTAAATGTTAGCGATAATAAACAATGTGAAGATTACAAATCAGACAAATCTCAACATGCCAAACATTTGGATGATAACATGCCAGATGTTAATGAGAATGAAAAATGTCATGAAGATAAACATTAGGATGGTATTTGACATGCTAAATGTTAGCAAGAATGAAAATGCCACCAGGCTT